CAGCACCTGGCCGTCCTCGGGTGCCAAGATCTCCAGGGAGGCTTGGGGGCTGCCGGTGCCCCCAGCTCCAGCCCCACCCCGCAGGGCCTGCTGCTGGATGGCCAGCAGTGTGCGTGTCTCAGTCAGGTTGCCATAGCGCAGCTGCTCTTGGATGAGGCGGTGCAGGACTGTCCCTGAGGAGTCTTCCAGAGTCCTCATGCTTTTTTGGCTTGCTCACACCTGCCTGGACAATAGCCAGAGACACGTGGCCCCAGGGCACCTGGGAAGAAAGAAAGAAGAGCAATAAGTAGGAGCACATGGGGGGGGGGGTAGAGAACTTTCCTTTAGAGTCAGGTCCAAAGCATAATGCTAAAGAGCAAGACTTAGAGTGACACACAAGTCTGAGTTAAAATGACAGTGCTGCCCCTACTGATCAAGGCAAATTATCTGACCTCTGAGTCTCAGATTCTCCATCAGAAAAATGGAAAGAGTAGTGCTTGCTGCATGAGGTTGAAAATTAAAGGACACAATGGCTGCTGAGCTCCTGGTGCACTATACATCTTTGAAAAGGATTGCCAATATAATTATATTCACAGAGACTTACTATGCCTTAGAAAGAGACACCAGTACCAAGAAAGTAATCAACCAGGAACCACAGCCTCCTGCAGTCAGCCACCCATCAAAGAACTGATGAGAGACTCCAAGACAGGCCTAGTTCAAATCCAGCCACTGAGCTGTCCAGACCAGGGGTGGACAGGACTCCAGTTTACTGGGAGGTGATAAAGAAAGAGACTAGTCCAGTAGAAGCCCCAGGCAGACAGCCTCCAGCACTCTCTAGAATGAGGCAAACCTAGGATGAGGTTCAGCCTTGGCACAGCTAACTCATCACTCTTTACCCTGCAGAACCCTCCCTTGTCATGGAGTGACCTTGGCAGCCACTCTGTAAGGTAAATGGAAAGAAGGAGAAAATGCATCTGGAATGGTGAACGAGGGATGAAAGGAGAGGTTACAATAGGACAGTGGTTGTGAGACCAGGCAGAAAGGTGCCACCCATCAAGGTTTGTGGGTCAGTCACATAGCCTGTGTGTTGACAGTAGCTGCGTGGGAGCTCTAGGAAAAAGGATGGCCATGTCTTAGAGTTTACAGTTATGCCCCCCCCCCCCTTGGAAAAGCCCTCTATGGTCCTCTGGCCACATAGTAGATGTGCACTCAGCACCCTGGCCTCGGTAACACCCACTTGAGCCCAGTGGAGAAGAAAGGGAGTCAGAGGGAGGGTCTTGCTTGCAGCGACCTGGAGCAGGAATGGGGGGGGGGGGCTGTGAGCGCAAGTAGATTATTTCCTGAAAAAGGTGTTCTCTTCTGAATTTGGGCTCCCAGTGGCTCATGCCGGAAAGATGCCTTTCCACAGCCTCCACCAACACACACCTCCAAACTGGGATTCTGGGAAAGCCAAACAAAGCCCACACCTCCACAGTCCCGCGTGTAAGGGGGGGAGGGGAATGAGAGGAATGTGGCCCCTCCCCTGCCATAAAACTCCAACCAGCACTGTCCCGCAGCTCGGGAAGGTGGACAGAGCAGCCATTCTCCACCACTCCCACAGCTGAGGAGCAGGAGAGAAGTCTGGAGGGCATCTCTGTGCCCATCGCTCCCAGCACCTAGTCATGCCATCCCCTCCCCCCACAGACAGGAGGGGTGGAGACGCAAGACTCAGGAGCTTCCAGAGGCAACTCAAACAGGCATCAGTTCTCCCCAAGAGCAGCGATTTTGCAGCGGTGTGCCAGAGCAGGCACAATGGTGCCCCGCAGGAATTTCTGAAACGTGCAGTACCCGACTGATTTAGTCAGGGGCACCGACCTGTTTCCCCCTAGACTGTGTAAACGAGTCAAAATTATACCGATTTTTGGGGGTCAGATCAGCACAAATTACACTTTTGTGTGTATCGCAGAATTGTAGTCATTCGTTTATGTGTGCCACGAGATGAAAAAGGTTGAAAATCGCTGCCCTCGAGTTGTACCTGCCAGGCATTTCCCGAATTCATCACTGTCCGCCTGACTCCGGGGAGGAAGCCCGGGACCACAGAGCTTTCCGGAGATTCTAGACCTCCTTCCCCCAACAGTGCGTCTGGGACCAGAGAACACCCCTTGGGGGCCCCTCATCCCGAGTCTGTCCCCATCGAGTCCTTCAGATGCACGTCTTCTCAGCGCAGCCGTTGCTAAAATCGCCACCTCCCGCGCCCGCCCCACCTCCGCCGCCCTTCCCTGCCGGGGTGCACCTCGGCTGCGCTAGCGCTCCCGACGCTACGAAGCCCACCCGCCGCCTCCTTCTAAGCAAGCTCTCATCTCCGGCCCTCGCCTGGGCTCACGCACACCTAAAAAGCCGGAGCGATGGTCTCTCCAACCGCACCGACTCTCGGCCGGACACAAACACTCCGAGGCTGTCCGTGCGCCTAGAGCAAGCGGGCGACGGTAGCCGGTGGCCCCGAGAGGTCTTTTAAGCGTCGCGGGCCCGCCTCCTTCCCTCCCGGGCCGGCCCTCTTTGTTTTCCGAATGCTCCAGCGCTGACGTCACCGGGCTGGAAGGCAAGCTGCATTCTTCTCGGTGAGAGCCAATTCGTGGCTCCAAAGAAGATTTTTCAAGGAAGACAAAGAGGAATTCTTGGGCTAGTTGGGGGCAAAGGCACCTGTAACCTCTACTTTATCAGATCAGCCCCCAGGGCCCTGATCCTTAAACTGGAAACAGCACCCCCTGCCTTATTTCGCGCTCCTCTCCCTGACCCGCGACCAAAACACGAACCCCACGCTTCTCAGAGGCTGCTCCTTTCCCCAGCCCCAGAGAGACCTTCGAGCCGCCGGGAGCTCCCCCATTCTGGGCGCACGGCGTGGCGTCCGAGGGGCAGAGTGGTCCCTGCCCACCTTTGTCTCCGCCTGGAAAGGGCGCCCTGCGCCCTGAGGACGCTGGGTCCGCCGGGGTCCTGCTCCCGGAAAAGGCCAGGCCGTGCCGGAGCTCGGGATTCGGCTGGGTCGGGTCTCTGCTAGCCCGGTGCGCTGCCTGAAGCGCCGATCAGCCTTCCTTACAGCTGAGGCCCGCGGGTGCTGGTCGCGGTCAGACCTGACGCCCCAGCCCGGCTCCGCTCGGCTCAGCTCGGCGGCGGAGGTGTGCACTGGGCGGTGGCGCCGACGCTCTGGCAGCTCCGGCTCCAGCGCGCAGCCCCAGGGTCAGCCCGCGCTGGAGGCGGCTGCTATGCCAGGAATGTGAGAGTTTCAGGTTCCCCCTCGGGATCAAAGCGAACCACAAATAACCTCTCAGCGCGCCTCCCTCCTCCGCTCTCCGCCTCCTCCCGCTCCCTCCTCCCGGCCCCCGCCGGCCTCCGGGGAGGCGGCGCTGCAGACCAGGCTGGCCACAGCTCCGTTCCCGGGCTGTCCTGGGCCCTCCAGGATCGGCTGCACTGCTCTCCGTCCCGCTCCCCACCTGCCCCCTCCCTCCCCGCTCCGCTTTACCTTCGGAGCTGCTAGCGACGAATCCAACTCGGCCCAATGCCTTCCCGAACCCCGTCCCCGCCTTCCTGTCACCCCTTCATTCCAAGGGTGGATGACACCGAGGGATGTACTTCGAGTGTCCCTGAGAGATTCTGGGTGTCGCCCTGGGGAACGTGGTGTGTTTGGCGTGCGCGTGTGTTTACGGGGGGGGGGGGGAGGACTGCAGAGTTGTCCATATCTGTCTGATTTGGAACCTGCTTCCGGCGAAGGGATGACTCTGCTTCCAGCACGGAGCCTCTTCCTAACCCCCACTGTTTTCACCGCCAGCGGCGAGCTTAGAATTGCACTTTTATTGTTTACAAACACCTTCGCCAGCTCTTTTAGGACCTGTCTCCACAGGAAGTGTGAATCTGGATTGGAAAATGTTCTGGTTAATTTGATCCACCTAACCAACTAAATCACCCGTCACCAGGTTCTCCCTCAGACTCTGGCCGAAGAAGGTAGTCACTGGCAGCCCTTCAGGCAGAGCGCACTCGCTTTTCTCCTAGGCATCTCATTCAGCCCTCCCAGTCATCCTTCCAGGGAGTTCTGTTACCCTGCCTGTGACATAAATGAGGACACCGAGCCTCAGAGAGGTTAATTAGCTTGCTCGGGGGTCACACAGGGAGTAAGCGATGAGGCCAGGTAACCCCTGGGCTTCTCAGACTCATTCTGGAAACCCTTCCGTGGCCACCAGAATCCAGGCTCCCTAGAGGGACAGGGCAGGCTCTAGGAGCCCACCTCCCTCCATCTGCCCTCTCTCTGGGCCAGCCCCTTCTTCGTTTCCCCCTACAACCCTGCCGGCCATCATGCCTTCTCCCTGCACCAGGTCCTCCTTTGTTGCTCCTGTTTATTCTCTGGATGGAATTATCTCCTCTGCCTTTAGGACCCTGTCTTCCTCCCCTGCCTTCTCACCAGACTGATCCATCTGTGCTGATGGAAACCCGTTCTTCAGAAAGCTTGCTCTGATGAACCCTCCCCCTGCCTCCCCCTTTCCCCAAGCTCTGCCAGCCATTCCTGAGCCCTAACCACACTGGACCTCCCAACACATCCTGGGGAGTGGGATGGTGTTGGGGGAGAGGATGGACTGGGGGAGGGGGCAGAGGGCCATGTCAGGCTGCTGTCCCGGAGAGTCAGGACTGATTTCCATGTCTGCCTGGGTCATGTTCTCCCCACCTTGCTGTGCAGTTAGCATCTGCTGGAGGGGGACCAGGGACAAGAAAATGGTTTAAGTTCAAAGAGCTGTTTACTATCCAGGGACATTGTTAATTTTTAATACAGCCCTCCCCCCTAAAATTGTGTACATGTGTGTGATTTACTTGGAAGCCAAATATTGTATTTGGCTTATCACTTGCAAACAGCGATCAGCTCTGAAACAACTGAGAAAATAAGGTACTTGTGCCCAACTAAGGGGTATTCGGCTATCCCAGGACCACCTCACAGAGAGAAACTACGACCAGTATGCCACCGTCTCAACTAGATCCACCAGGTAGAAATTTGAGAGATGAGAAGGGAGAAGAGGTCCCCAGGTGGCCTTCCCTGTGGACAGCATTCTTCCTGGTAATACTTGGTGAAGGTGTGAGAGTGGATGTGGGCATGTGCACTCTGGGGGTGCAAAATCAGGGGAAAGGTCACATGACAGTTTCTGTCTTTGGGCCATTTGGGGATACCTGCAAAACGCTTGGCAAACATCCTTGAGGTGGTTGCAGAATGGGGTGGGCCAAAGGGAGCTAGAGTCAAGGAGGTACATCTTGGAGCAGGAAAGTAAGCAGCTGGCATAAATTGGCTCTCTGACTACTCACCTCCATGCCCTAGAGCAACAGAAGGAGAAGAGGGACCCCAGAACCTGAATGGGAAATTTACATACACTTCTCTCTGCAAAGATGGAGGGCTGGGCCTTCCAGGCAGGGCAGGGCCAGAGGTCTTGGTGCAGCTGCCTGAGCTGGGAGCCACACCTGGCTTAGCAGGGTGGTTGGGTGAGGGCTCAGCATGGCTCAGAGGTGCCAGAGGCAGGTGTGCATTGGTGGGCACTGGGCTGGCCAGCCTGCTAGCACATATATCATGTCCACTTCCCGCAGGGGAAGAGAGGCTTGCCTAGTGAGCCAATGCTTTTTTCCTCCTGGCTTTGTCCTTCTCTGACCATCTTGTCCCCTTCTCTTTCTCCACTCCCCCTGCAGGTAATGACTCTTCCTGGATGACATTGTGGCTGGCTGGGTCTGGAATCCTGCCCAGGAAAGGTGCAGAAGTGACCCAGTTCTCAGAGTAAGCCAGACTTGATGCTTTTGCAAAGAGGGCAGCTCCCCAGGGTGTGGCTGCATCATAGGTGTGTATGGGGCTTAGCAAGGGATCCAGGCACCAACACCCTTGTCACTCCTTAGCTTGGGCCTGGGCTGTGTCCCTCTGTATGCAACAGGAGTATGAAGGTGAGTTCTAAGCTGTACCCTATCAGCTCCCTCCCGTGGAGCTAGGAAGGAAATGGTCTCCTATTTCCCAAGTGGTTAACTGGTGGAGAAAGGGCTCCGGGGCCCAGATGGCAATATCAGAGGAAGATTCTCCCTTCCAGTGCCTCCTGGATACTTCCTTTGACAGGCTATGGGGACCTGGAAACCCATCAGAATCTGGAACAGGTAGCAAATTTGCAACAAGAGCCTGGGCATTGGGGTGGAAGTTCCAGGGCTTCAGTTTCAAGAGCCAAGCTGGGGGCCTTCTCCTCCTTCTGCAAGCCCCTGGGGTCCATTATTCACCCTCCTTTTATGCTCACTCCATCCCAAGGTTTTCCTCCAAATTCTCTCCTTCCACTACCACCATCTTCTTTTTTGCTCCAAGCATCATGCTCAGAATCTCCTTCAAGCACAGGTTGCCTCACAGAGTCTGTGTCTTTGGGGCATCATTTCCTCCCAAGTTGGAGCATTTTTGAAAGCAGGCCCCACAATGGTTGAGATAAGAAGGTGCTGCCCTGAAATATCAGGAAGTCCTCACTTTCCAAACTGCGCGTACCCCCTGACTTCAAGGCCTTCATCTGTGCCCTTGGCCTCAGATGTTCCCACAGGCCCAGGGGTGAGAGGGTTCCTGCCCTTGGGGAGGGAGCTCTGGTCACTGCCTTCATTCCCTCCCCTGCTCTAAGGTCCATAACTGCCAAGGACCTCCAAGGTCCCTAGCCCAGCGTGTGTCCAGGAGGTAGTGTCTGATGGGTATTGGTGGATAAATTGATAAACTACAGGATTTTATTCTTGTCTGGGTAGCCATCAGGCTGGAGATGGTAACTAAGAATTGGCATGCTGGAGGCAGTGAGGAAGGGAAGACCATTTTGCAATATCAGTGTGACCCCAGACACCAGCATTTCCTGCGCAGCTCCCTTGTACTGAGAACTGATTTAGTAGGTGTGCCGCTGCTGGGAAAGACCCTCTGCTCTTGGCCAGAGGCTGCAGGGAATGTGAAGAGTCCCAGGATTTGCAAGGCTCCCTGCAGAAAAGAACCCAGGGCGAGTTTTTTTGGCCCTGGGGCAGGGCCAGTGTGATAAAAGACTGCCCCCTAGTGAGCTTCATCCCCACTGCCAGGTCAGCTCCCAGGGCTCCCAAGGTGGGTGGATCTTCTGTCCCAGAGAGGCATGGTGGAGTCACGCTTGTGACAGGGCTTTGTCCAGGGGACAGGTGTCTCCCAGGCTCATAGAATGGACTAATGGCTCCAGTTGTGTTCCTGACTTTCCTCCCATTTCAGTCTATCCTGAACTTTCACGTGGTCTGAAAGAGATACATGCAATCTTTAATACAACCCTAAATCATTGACATTGGGAAAACACCTTGTGTTCACACACCTATTCACACTTCTACGCAGCTCTTCATGTATTTTCTGTATTCATTAAAAAAATATTTCCTGAGCATGCACACTGAGCCAGACCCTATGAGTCCAAGGGTTTCCTTCCATCTTTGCGGAGTTCAAAAGTCACTGGGTTCAAGGGAGAAAGAGGCTAGTAAACTATAGAGCACAGAGCTCCCCATCTTGGAGAAGGAGGGTATGGGCATAGTGAGGGAGTGATGGCAGGCTTCCTGCAGGTGATGCTTCTCAAGTTGAGTGCTAAGGCCAAGATGGACTGCAAGGTGTCTTCCAAGGCTGGCATCTGGAGAACCTGCCCAGAAAGCACAGACATCCTGGTTCACCGGAACAGAAGCGGTAAGTGCTGAGCCCTTCATGGGCGGCTACTGACCTCCAGGAGGAACCGTGGGAGGGAGAGATTGCAAAGGGACACTTTGTGGTATATCTAGGCTAAAACATTACCTTGTGTACTTTAAACAAGTGTACGTTTCTTAAAAAGTCAATTATACTCTAATAAAAGGATTGAAGCAGTCAGACAGTAACACAGTGTAAAAAGCATTGCCTTGTTCCGCTCTTCTCCCCAAGTTCTGTGTCCAAGAGACAACTGCTTTTAAATCTTTTGCATGTTCTGCTACTGACACCTAAATTTCTAAAAAAAGTCTTCTATTTTATGGTGTTCCTGCTTTAGTTGTTATCAACTTCCTTCTACTATGAAAAATTAGGACAGAGCTCCCTTACAAAGCAGACACGTATAGTCACTTACATACATGCACACTTGCCTCCTTCCTGCCCCTTGATGATGGCTGCATGTCATTTTTTGCATAAATTACTATTCAATGTTTATATGATTGTGACTAGATAAATATTGTTAATAGCTGAATCACATACTGCGCCATGATTACACTTCCTTTCTTTCACAACTCTTATTTTTGTTGGAGTTAAATATCTGCCTCATTTTTTCATTTCCCAGGTGTGGTATATATTTAGCATTAACTTGTGCCCAAGTACACAGGTAGAACCCCAAAGTTCAACTCCATGAATAAGACCCATTAGTAGTTTAGCCTGTCAATGTTCATCTTGATGGCACCCCATCTGGGGAGTTGGGACAGGTTACCCTCTGCTCCCACCAAAGAGCTTTCATCCTGAGATCTCCCTTCAGGAAGGGCCCTTCCCCCACTTCTCTTCCACTTGTTTTCCTGTCTCCAGATTTCTTGTCTTTGCCTTCCAGGAGCTTCCAAAGAATGGATCTGTAGGAGGCAAATTTAAAAAAATTGTTTTGCACCTTAAAATCTCTTAATTCTACTGTCATACACTATTTATGGATGGTTGGGTATAAAAGTCTAGATTAGAAGTAATTTTGCCTCTGAATTTCGAAAGAGTTGCTTCATTATCTTCTTGCTTTCAGTGTTGCCATGGAGAAAAACAATGTTATTCTCACTGTTGATCCCTGGATATGGGTTGTTTTCTCTCTCTCCGGAAGCTTTTAGGATTTTCTGTGCATGTCTGACACCCTGGCATTTCTGAGTGCGATGCCTTGATGTGTTTTTTCTTTTTGGCTTCTGTGGGGCAAAGTTTCGCATATGATTTGGTGGTTACTCTTCTCCAGTTGAACTGTTCCCTTTTGGGGGGTCCAATAATTTTGGATGTTAGAACTCCCAAAACAATTCTCTGATTTTAAGTAATTTTTTCTTGTTATCTTCATTTTGGGGAGAAATTTTCACCCCTTGATATTTCAACCCTTTTATATTGCTGTTTTCATTTTTAACTTTCAAGAGCTGTTTTCTTTTAATCTAATGTTTTCTTTCCTAACACCATCTTCTTGTTTCATAAATTAACTATCTTCTCTTATCCCTCTGGGAGTGGTAATTATTATGAAAATTGTTTTGTTGTTCCAACCTCCACATTATCTCGGTTTCCTTGGAGTTCCTTTTTTGCTGTTTGTTTGTTTTGCTCTGTTTTTCATAGTTAAGGCTTCTCTCAAATGATTTAGCTGTCTAGCCCTGTTTAAGAAGGAGGCATTTCACAGCTGATGGAAGCCCTGTGTGGGTGCAGAGTTTATTTCTTGGTGGGTCTCACAGAAACAGAGATAGCGTTCTGGCTTTGATGTTGGGGACCCCCACAGTAGCGGAACTTGTAGGTCATTACCCTCGGGCGAATCAGTTTCCCAGTGAAGGGTCCTCTGAATCTGCCGCCTGGAGTCTGGGGGCCTGGCTGCCCGTGGGCCCCGAAGAGAATAAGGAAGGGAAATGGAAGGGCGTTGGGGCAGTGGGCTCTGCCAGGCCCCCCCTCTGCCATGCTCAACTTCGGTCTTTCCAGAGGGCAACTCCGGTCTTTGCAGTGGTAAGGAATCAGGCAAAGTGAAGGGGGCTGTCTCAGAGTACGTTCCTCTTCAGGAGGTTTACAGCCAACTCGCCCTCGGCCCCAGCTTGGAGATGCCCAGGGCTTCTGCTCACTAAGAGTCTGAGGCTCTGCCACGTTTGTTTCTTCTCTTCCCCAGATGCTCAGCGCTGGGAGAAAGCTGCAACCTCATCTGTCTGCTCTCCATTTTCCAGAATTTTGTCCACATCAGTCTCCTGCTCTCTCCTCTCCTGCCTTCTTCCGCTGGAGGGTCAGACTTTTTCCTTTTATCTCTTTCCAGTAAGCAGGTTTAGGGTGGAGCCAGGGTGAAGGTGCTCTTCCCTCCTCCCCGTTGAGGCAGACTCAGCCTCCTCTTGGTGTTTCTCACTGGGGTGGCTCCTTCCGACCTTGTCAGGACTGGTGTGGGCACTTGGGGCAGGAAGCTGGCAAGCTCAAGGTTGTTCAGCTGGTTCTACAACTTCAGGGCTTGCTTTCCCTGCCATGGGCAGGGTTCCCATACATCTGCCAAGGTTAAGGCTGGTGGGGTGCCTCTGTGATGGTAGTGCTGTGGTCCTCTGTTACTCCAAGACTCCAGGGCTGCAGTAAAGACCTTGTAAAGGGGGACTTGAAGCTTGAGGTTTTAGAGGCCCAGGGGCTGAGCCCATAGTTCTAGGAGATGCAAGACACCTTCAGATACCACCATGTCATCACGAAAACTGGGCATCCAGGGGAACACTGGCCTTTACTTTCAGTCTTGTTTCTTTCCTCTCGGTGTATCCATGCAAGAGTGGAGGGCAGAACACGGTCCCTCCCATGCACATCTTTTGCCACTTCTTGAGGGCAGAGCATCTGACCTTTCAGCCCCATTGGAAAGGTTCTGTTGTTTGACTGGACACGGGCTACAGAGTCACTTGGGAGACATGATAACGTCCGGCTTGTTTTGTGCAAAGGCTTAGGGTGTGCTGTGTGGCAGGCTCCATGCAACCCATGTTCCAGTGTGCCAGGGAGACTCTATAAACAGGATTCCTATCTTAGAGATTCACAATGGCATCAACCTGTGTGAAGAATCTGAAAATTCTGGCAGGAAGGAAACCATCTATTTTGTTTCAGGTGCACCCACATAAGTGAAGACAGGAAAGAAATTAGATCGACCTTCAAAAGTACCAGGCAGTGGAATAACTACAATGAGAGCCCGTCATCCTGGTGAAATAAGGTGGCTCAGAGGCGGAGACAGTGAGGGTGCAGCCCACATGCACTCCGGTCCTCGTCTGAACTCTGCCGGACGTCTGGAGGCTCGTGACTGCCCTGCCATCCTTTTCAGTCCCTTTTTAGCAGATCCTTCCTAAGCTCAGTCCAAACCCAAAGTGACGAAGAGTGACTCTGGGGAGAGAGGCACAGGGACAGTGTTTCCTCTGAGGTGGGCAGGATTGCGGAAGGGCAGGGACCATGGAGGCAGGCTGATCAGTTATTTCTTTTGGATGAAGTCACACCTGAATTTTCTAATAAGGTGTAAAATATTATGTATAATATCTAACAAAATTTAACCATTTTGGTGTACAGTTTGATGAATTTTGGTAGTCGTATACAGTTGTATAACCATAGCCACAATAAAGATTTAGATCATTTTCCTCTCTTCGGAAAGTTGCTCCCCTTTGCAGGAATTTCCTTCCCTGAGCCCCGAGTCCTCTTGGCCCACTCTGGCCTCATGCCTGCACGTGGCTGGTTCCTTCCTTTTCTTTCCTTCTAATCTCAAACGTCGCCTCCTCAGAGAGGCCTTCCCCGACCGTCCGATTGAAAACACCCGACCTGCAGGTAGGTGCTCTCTGGCCTGTCTCTCTTCGTAACAACAAGCTATTTCATCTCTCCTTAATTTTTAATTTATTTGTGTGTTTGTTTATTTCCTTTGGTCAGTCTACCCCTAACTGAATGTAAACTTGGCTATGTCTTTCTGCACTGCTTTATTCTCAGTGCCCAGAACATAATAGTTGATTTATAAGTACTTATTGGACCAAAGGATATAAAGAAGAAAGAGAAAGAAGAAATGCAGAAAGGAGGAAGACAAAGGGGGACTAAAGGCTCAGAAAGGGGAACAAGAAGGGAGGGGACAGAAAAGGACTAGATCGCAGTGGTTCAGAGCCAGGGTGTTTGTATCAGTGTGACCTTGGCACCTCACATCTCCCTCAGTTCCCTCCTTTATGAAGTGGGGTTTCCTCACAGGGCTGCGCCAAGGACCAAATGAGATAACGTACGTAAAGTGCGCTCACAGTGCCTGACACCTAGTAAACGGGACGGAGAGAAAAGGAGCAAGAACCGTGGGTCTCCTCTCCTGGGCACTGACTCGGGAACTCTGTTGTTCTCCCTGCCTCCTTTCCATTCAGGGGAGCCCCGAGGGGCATCTCACCAACCAGCCTTCACATCCTGGCATATGCTGGAGCCCAGCGCATGTTCCTGTCCCAGTGGTTCAGATGTCTTGCTTACAACAAGCAGACCGGAGAGGCTAATGTTGGCCACACATTCCAGATCCTTCCCCTTGGGTCAGGAGCCTACAAAGGCATCGCCAATAAAGCATATGCCCAGCCTCCTCATTTCCATGACGAACAATGGCTAAGGGAGTATGAGCCGGGGATAGCAGTAGGGGTGAGCGAGGGGGTGGGATGAGGTGGAGGGAGGGCAAAGCCCTTGGTCTCTGCAGCTGTGAATTGCTTCATGCTGGACACTGGGCCCATTGGCTCTTGCATCTGCCTCCTGGACCCACAAACCTCCTCTCAATGCTGCATCAGGAAGAAACACTCAACCCAGAGCTGCTGAGAGGGGCCAAGTTTCCCAGGACTCCCTTCTCTTTATTTCCTCCTCCGTGCTCTCTCTCACCCCTGCTCTCCCCTGCATGTTGGCCAGATGGGATGTCCCTGGAGATGGAGGGGTGTGTTGTGAGGTGCCTCTTTTCCTACTTACTGGCTTTGCCACTTTGGGTGAAAAGATGAGCCTTCTTCTCATCTTGTTTAAAGCAAGCACCAAGACTTCCAGCCAAGATGGAGGCATAGTCATACGTACTGTGCATCCTTGCACAACCAAAAGAAGGACAACAACAAATTTAAAAACAAAAAACAACCAGAACTGACAGAAAATCGAACTCTATGGAAGTCTGGCAACCAAGGAGTTAAAAAAAAAACATTCATCCAGACTGGTAGGAGAGGCAAAGATAGGAAGCTGGGTGGAGAAGACTCAGGGCAAGGCAGTGGTTGGCAGACCTGGCAAGGCAGCAGACTGCAGACTGGGCGGTCCCACATTAGCGTGCAGATAAACCAGGAGGAGCAACTAGGGAGCGAGACAGAACATGCAACCCAGAGTTCCAGTGCAGGGAAATAAAACGTCAAACCTTTGACTGAAAACACCTGTGAGGGTCAAGGTGGTAGTGGGAGAAACTCCCAGCCTCACAGGAGGGTTTGTTGGAGAAACCCACAGGGTCCTAGAATGTACACAAGCCCACCCACCAGAAATCAGCACCAGAAGGGCCGATTATGGGTAGCAGAGGAAGTGACTGAAAACTGCAGAGAGTGGAGCAAGCAGCATTGTTCCCTCTTGAACCCCTCCCTCACAAACAGCATCACAATGCAGCGAGGTTGGGCTGCCCCACCCTCATGAATACCTAAGGTTCCCCCCCATACTATGTAACAGGCAGGCTGAGACAAAAAAAAAAAAAAGGCCCAAATGAAAGAACAGATCAAAGCTCCAGCAAAAATACAACTTAGTGACGAAGAGATAGTCAACCTATCGGATGCAAAGTTCAAAACACTGGTAATCAGGATGCTCACAGAAGTGGTTGATTTTAGTCACAAATTAGAGGCAGAAGTAAAGGCTATGCAAAATGAAATAAAGGAAAATGTACAGGGAACTAACAGTGATGGGAAGGAAACTGGGATTCAAATCAGTGATGTAGGGTGAAGGAAGAAACATTCAACCAGAACAGAATGAAGAAACAAGAATTCAAAAAAATGAGGAGAGGCTTAGGAACCTCCAGGACATCTTTAAACATTCCAACATCTGAATCATAGGGGTGCCAGAAGGGGAAGAGGAATAGCAACAAGTGGAAAACTTATTTGAACAAATAATGAAGGAGAACTTTCCCAATCTGGCAAAGGAAATAGTCTTCTAGGAAGTCCAGGAAGCTCAGACAGTCCCAAAAAAGTTGGACCAACCAAGGAAGAACAAGGAGGAACACATCAAGGCACATCATAATTATATTAGCCAAGTTTTAAGATAAGGAGAGAATCTTAAAAACAGCAAGAGATAAGGGGACAGTCACCTACAGAGGACTGCCCATAAGACTATCACTTGATTTCTCAAAAGAGACCTTGCAGGCAAGAGGAGGCTGGAAAGAAGTATTCCAAGTCATGAAAGGCAAGGACCTACATTCAAGATTGCTCTATCCAGCAAAGCTGTCTTTCAGAATGGAAGGGCAGATAAAGTGCTCCTCAGTTAAGGTCAAGTTAAAAGAGTTCATCATCACCAAGCCCTTATTATATGAAATGTTAAAGGGACTTATCTAAAAAAAGAAGATAAAAATATGAACAGTAAAATGACAACAAACTCACAGCTATTAACAACCGAACTAAAACAAAAACAAAAATAAATTAAGCAAATGACTAGAACAGGAACAGAATCACAGAAATGGAGATCACATGGAGGATTCTCGTTGGGCGAGTGGGTGGGAGGAGAGGGGGAAAAGGTACAGGGAATAAGTAGCATAAATGGTAGGTAGAAGACAGACAGGAGGAGGTTAAGAATAGTATAGGAAATATAGAAGCCAAAGGACTTATATATATATATGACCCATGGATATGAACTAAAGTGGGGGAATGCAGGTAGGAGGGGGTGCACAGGATGGAGGGAAATCAAGGGGGGAAAATGGGACAACTGTAGTAGCATAATCAATGAAATATATTTAAAAATAAAAAATAATAAAAATAAAACAAGCACCATAATAAAACCCACCTCATACATAGGGTAATTATGAGCATGAAGTGAAACAATCTAGGCAATGGCATCCAGACAGAATGGGCACAATAATTACCTTCTTCACTGAGCAGGCCTGTAAATTCTCATCTCCCACCACACTGCAGTCGGACCTCCTCTGTGCCCTGTTCCCCCTTGCTAAGACTCAACAGCAGTTCTCAAGCAAGCAGCACCCTCACCCAAAGCCATTCATGAGGACGAGTTGTAGCTTTCAGAATCTTTCCTCTGTTTTGGCGTGAGCTGACTGAGAGTTTTAGCCCAAGTCTTTTGTCTCCTATTCACCCCCTTGGGTCCTTTATCAAACACCACCTTTCAGTAGGACCTTCCCTAATCATACCGAATAATCATTATAATTTCCACCTACCTCATTTCCTGTTCTCTTTCCTCCTTTTGCTCCCTCCACCATTTTACATGCAATTTATCTCACTTACGTATTTGCTACTAGAATGTAAACTACAATACATTCTAGACCAGGGAATTTTTTTGGTTTTGTTCAATGTTGTACCCCTGAGGGCTAGAACAATGTATAGTAGATGCTGTATAAATATTTGTTGAATGAATGAAATGAAGTCATGGACATTCATTTTTGCCATGGGATGATTTATATTATTTCATGATTGATGGCCACCAACAAGAAATCACTTTTTCCCCAACTCATTTAAGTTGTGTATAAAGTACCTTATCATTGTCCCTCTGGTGTGAGAGATGAGGTATGCCCAGGACTAGTTCCAATCTGTTAAACTCCCCTGTGGTCTGATTATTCCAAGTGGCCTCTGCTCTTGCAGTGAGGTGACACTGTGCTCATTAGAGACTTTAATGGTATACAACCCAGCAGTTTTCATTGGTTCAAGGTTAGTATCTGACACTCCCTGGCTTCTGCAGAGGTAATGTCTAAACCTGTGTATCAAGGACTGTTTAGCCCCAAGTATTAGATATCACACAAACCGTGGCTTACACTTAGAAAAGTTAGGGATTTATTTTTTGCCCCAGTGCATGAAGTCTGGAGGCAGGTCATTTGGGGCTGGTATGCTAGCTCCAAAGAATCTTCAGTGTACGAGGCTCCTTTCATTCTTCTGCTCTCCCATCCATCGGCCACAGCATCTAGACCTGGCCTTGTGGCTGTAAGGTGACTTACTGCGGCTCCAACCTCAAGCGAGCCTTCCATGTAGTGAGAGGTTAGATCTCAGGGGAGCCAGGAGGAAGGGTGCATACCCCCCCAGTCAGCACACCTCTAAAAATGTCCAGTCTGATGGCCTTTAACTTTAATTGGAACAGTTAGCCCATTTATATGTAATGAAATCACTCGCACCTTCAGTTTTAAATCCACCTAAATCTCATTATTTGTCTATTGTTTCACTTGTTTTATATTCCTGTTCTCCTTTTTTCTTGCTTTTGCAGTACTTTTTTTATTATTCCATTCCATTTGGCTTATTAATTATATATTATTTTATTATTTTTAGTGGTTTCCTTGGAGTTTACAATATGTACCCTTGACAATAAAGTTTAATGTAAATTTATACTTTTATCCCTTCCAGGACAATGTAAAGATTGTGGAATACTTGAACTCCATTTAA